ATTAGCTTTCTCGGATCTTGATCCCCAGCGAATATGCTCATCATCGTTGAAAGCAGGGGAACGGCGACGTGAATGAGGTGAGACTGTTTCTGCCTTGGCTTTACTCTCAGTAACATCACGACGAGATTCATCGGGGTTTTCATCTTTTATAATAACAGGCGAAGAGAGGCGTGAACGTTTGATCGGCACATTGGCATTAGAGTCGGAGATAATGACAGGCGATCTAAGGCGCTGACGCCTAGGACGCGTAGGAGAAGAAGGCTCAGCCTTTACTCTGGAATTGTGGCTAGAATGGGGCGAGTGAGAAGTTTCCCATTTTGACGGATGGCTGGATCGGTGAGGTTCCTTCATTAACAGATTATACGAAGAGGGATGTAATGAACCGTCCCTACCCTACAGGGATGACTGAGAGGACAGCGGTGATGATCGAGGCTATCTAACACCACACTCGAAAACCGCGCTTTACAGTACCAGTAAAGGTTTGCGTTGCTGAAGTTGGAAAGCTGGCGTTTACTCAGGCGTTAACAATGGTTCATGACTCCTTTAAAGAAACTGTGAGAACTAATGCAAAAGAGAGAACGAGAAGTGTCTAGAGGAGAATTAGAAGTGTGTCAGGATTCAAACGTCATAGCGACTGCTTCCCAGAGAGGGCACTGTACACATGAGAGTTTGAACAGACTCCCTGACTAACTCTGCAGCAATTAAGATGACATCCAAGCGACGTGCACTCACGTAAAGAAAGGTAAGTAGGTCGGCGACGGTAAATGTGCGTTGTTCAACTCAGTGCGCGCAAATTGCGGTCGAACTGAAAGCAGTTTATGCATCATGTACGCATTGAGTACTTTTTGTATTTTCTTCGAGTCGTGTTAAAAAAAATAGGAGAAGATATATTTTTTTCGAAAAAAGACACGATGGTGTTGCAGAAAAGCGTTTTCTTATAACAATCTTGGAACTATTACGATGACACTTGTCTGTCTTACGAAGAAGCTGTTGCAGAAAAGATTAATAAAAATGTTGTGTGGCCCCTCAAGTACCTCCTGACGTGAAATATATCCAAATATGTAGTCCTAATTTTGTATTTCGGACGGAGACGTTTTCTCAAGCACTAGTACTTCCTTAACGGAACTCCACTCAAAGGAGTGGACACGTACAAAGATCGAGGTATTCGGAGAGCCTTACACTTCTGTTCCCTGCATAATCTAAAGGGATGTCCAAAAGGCGACGAGCATCATGCACTTGATCAAACCTGCTTACATTATGTTGTCTTCGGAAATCTTTGCGTGGATTATCAGGGCTTTCGTAAGACCGCATTTTAAATGTGGAATAGCAGCATGGAATTCGTAAACGAAAAAAAGACACTGATTTCACCAGGCAGGTACAACGACGGGCAACAAAACTGCTGGACGGCCTTAGGACTCTGTCTTATCCTGCAAGCCTAATTAAGCTAAATTTGTTTACCTATCCTATGGACAAATGAGGTGCGACCTGCTATGGAAAGTCCGTATTATCCACGGATATTCCTATTCACTGAAATCCGAAGATTTCTTCGAGTTTACAAACCTGCCATCCATACGAGGTCAAACGTAAAGGAACAACACATATTTCCTTCTGGCAGCGGGTTGTTCGACCATGGAGTTCTCTTCCAAGCGAAATAGTGAAGTCGAATACCGTTGCTCTGTTCAAACGGCAGATGGACTATGCAATTGCCATAAGGAGACGACTTGCACTACGGGACTATATCTGGCCAATCATGATTTATACTTCAGGATAACTTTTGCCGCAAAGATCATCCTGTAAACCTTCAACACGTTATGATGGACTGAAGCATGTTCTTTGGTGCAACAAATACTAGAATAGGTTGTGTGTGGTACAGCGTTACAGACTCCTACAACTTGATCAGACACTCCGCCTAAGCACAGTAACATAACGGATGCATGCTAGGGGAGTAAATTCCTCCTCAGGTCATCTAAGCGAATTAATCAAAAAATAAGTCTGCGGCGCTCAAGTTCATGCTTCTGAAGGCTGCCAACTGACGGTTTAATTCCAAATTATCATTCAGTCCTATTTGTGCACGTGGAAACGGACTGACAATTAGAGTTAATGGCTCCTTTTTAATGGGACCACTATATTAGTCCCACACCGATGCAATCCGAACTGTATCTTTGTTATTATTTTTAAATTCTGGTCCATCTTGCGCGGATGGACCGTACGTGTGTTTCACGCGTTAGCCTATCGCTTCGCCGGCTATAGTCTAACCCTAAACTACCATGACGACAGACAGTGAAACTTAGTTTCACGAAAGGCATAATCATTAAGCCATGATGTAGGTGGCATTAAATGTCTATTGGCGCCAGCAGACTCCGGCAGAAAAAGTGAGGGAATAACACTCTATACCTTTCCCTATAATATCAAATATTCAAAGTATTAAAATGAAATCTAACCCACCAGTAAAATTGTGGTCTGCAGGATCGTTCTAAGAACATTCCAACGGTAATTAACGCGCATATCTTGACGTCGTTTATACTGGATATTCACCTCAAAATTCACTGGAGCATTCTGCGAAGCATTTGCTTAAGCTGATATTTTGAACACTTTTTAAAAAGTTTTATCGCTACTTGGCCAACACTGAGTGCTGGGTAATTTTTAATTATACGTGAAGTAGCAACGCTGCAAAGAATGCATGAAAATCAGATGTAAAAGGCAATTTAACTCTAATCAGAAGAATAAACTGCATAAAACTATGTTAATTTATCCATCCTAGTTCTCCTCCAAGTTTCTTCCTGCGTGAGCTTCCGTACAATTTACTAAATGAACCTGTCACTGCTGCTTGAAATTTACCAGATAAACCTCAGAGAAAAGAAAGTAATCCTAGCGGCATTCGACTGACACAAGTAAACATCCATGCTAGAAAATTGGCATTTGTTTATTTATAGGGGTTTTTAGAATAAAAAAACATATTGAACTTTAATTGTTCAGATGGATACTAAACTAGTTATCCTTTCAAAATATCATTCAAACATGAAAATGACTCGTTCAGTTGTGTAACGGACCAAACCTGAACCGAGCACTGTTTCCTTGTTTTATTCCTCGTTTTACTGTGACCGGACCTTTTTCCCTCGAGCAGTGATCTTACTGGACCAGGAGAACACACACATGACGACCTGAACCTCCGATAAGTCCGACTCGTGTACCCCTTCCTACTCCTCTCCCTTACCGTTTACCGTTTCCCTTTTACCGTTCCCGTTTCCCTTACCGATACCCGTCACTGTACCGATACAGTATATCTTTATATATCCTCGTCTCCCCCTTTTATTACGTTATGAGTTCTAACTCTAACTCGCTCGCCTCAGCTTTGGATGAGATTGACGGACCCCAAGGTAGTGTATTCAACGAGACGTTATTCGTCGAACCGAGGCCGCGAGTACCAATAACCTCGGGTCCCAACCAATTGGACGCTTTCAACCCGGCCGTTACAGTTTGGATGGTATGGCGTGAAGGCTCAAAGGATACGTAAAGATCGCAGCCATACAGAATTTATCCAAACAATATCGTATTTCACACGCAATTTCCGACCATTCTAAAAAGCATGCAACTATTTTTCTCGGAATCCTGGATAAATTCGATAAACTTCGGCATGCTAGAATCTTAATTAACTCCTGGGTTTATAGCATTAAAAAAGGCAAATTTGAAAAAAAGGTAGAAGTTGGAATTAACAAATAGCTAAACCTTGTTCACCTCCATTTCAGCCACCTAAAACAGATATCAAAATCTCCAGTCGAAAGCATAAACATGCCAAATGACATTGGTTGAATAATCGAGGATTCAGATCTAAGCCAGCAACATTAAACCTATCACAATTGGGTCGATGCATGAAAAGTCAAAGATATCGGATCGAAATGTGCCTAATTATTAGGTAGGTAGTGGTGCGGAGGAAATAGTGCAGACAAAGACATAAGAGGCAGGGATTGCCATTTCTGGCATATCAGCCGTCGCCAGACAGCCTTACTCAACCCGAGTTTAACAGAAACTCAGGTTGAAACCCACTTCATCTGGTTATCGAGCGTCAGCAATGTGAACACTGTTCAGTTACGTCACAGGGATAGGTATGGCTAGCTAACGGTGGCTAATATATCAGAAATAGCCATCCCAGTCTCCTATATTCATGCTGGGACTCCTAGTACACAAAGAGCAAGGGAATTTATCAAAATTCAAAATTCCTAAAAAGCCAGTATTTGTATCCTTGCCCTTCAAGGGGGATAATATCTTAAACACTATTAAAAGGCGCCTACTCAAGGCTATAGAAAGAACCTCTTACGCA